AACTGTCCGCTTTAGATGGACATCTAGTAAACTTTTACTGCAAACTGTACGCTCCTGATTCGTCAATTTTATTAGCGTTACAGTCGCTCTGAGCGTACAGGTAAATCGTAATATCATAATTCATTCAACAAACACGATAAACGAAACCAGACATACACATGACACTTGCAATCAAATACGGAAATTGGAAAGTATAACCGAAGAAAATTCCTACCGTCTATTACGACCCAGCACTCAGCCTCAGCCAACACCGGGAGTTCAATGTCATTGTCGAACGACTGAGTGGCACGAGTAACCTCCACTTTATAACTGCCAGCCAGGGTATTGTTAATGTTGGAGATTTCTAGCTGATAGAAGTTTGGCCGCGGTTGGTCCACAAGTGGCCGATAGACGGGAGTTCCTGCCGGATCAATTTCCATGTCATTGTGAAACCAACGCACGTTCAACGCTTCATTTATATCTGGCAAAATGCAAAGTAGGTATACCGTTTCGCCGGAATGCGCCTTTACATTAGACGGTTCGAGAAGAAAAACTTTATTCACAACACCGTCTGTAGTGGTTATTGATCGCTTTGGAGTAGGCGCTTGGCGAATCAACTCACGTACACTTGGTTCAATAATAGATTCACTGTGTGGAACAAGAAAACGTGAACAAAAGACAACATAAGAAAAGCAGATTTAAAGTGATTTAGTTGATTTTTGCAACACAAGACTCCTTCCGTGCAACACAGAGTTTGTAGCAGTTGATATCCTAGTCACAACACCGTCTGTTCATCGAAATTGGAAAACGGTACAAACCACTGCCTTCACCTGCATTGATGTGGCGGGAGAAACGTTGTATATCAAAGGAAACAATAATCATACTTCTGAGAGATCTCTGAGAGATTCCAGATGCAAGTCGTGATCAGCAGATTGGTTTTTAGTGTAAATAACTCGGTTTTAATGGTTTTACAGGTGTCCACAACAGCTGTGTGTACAACACCACTTTTGCAATGTTCATTTGAGGCTACTAAATTCACACCATTGGTATATCACAATTTATTGAGATAACCCATTTGTGTAACTCAGGAGTATAACCAAATGTGAGTTAGATGTGCTTAGATTTCCCATCAATATGAAAGGGCGATTGAAACAGTCCTGGGTTTTGATTGGGAAACCAGATTCCAGTCAAAAATTGAGGATACCCCCCATTAGTCACATGAAATGATTTTCTCCTGTAGCTACTTAAGCTGTATTGCTCTGGCAAATTGAGATACAAAAAGCCGCTCAAGGCTGTTACTCATTCAATCAAACTGTAGTTGAATTTATGCACATAGACGAACAGATTACTGCAAAACTGTTGAATTTCGTAGATATTTCGATCATGATTTACCTCTTTCCTTCAAATTAATTGAGATTGGCCATATAAATGAGAGAAGCCTCAAGACTTCCTCACAGGACTCGGTTTTCAAACTGTTTCCTAGAAGCGTCGTTCCTGGGGCACCAATTATCATGGCATGCGGTGCGTTCTCATAAACCTATGTGGCATAAACTTAAATAGTTATGCACACAAATTGGACGTTCAAAAACCGAATGTTGTACTTCGTACACCGACGAGCCTATACCATTACCATATATCTCTCCGTCACTAACTCTTCATTACCAACTGAATCTACCTATGGCCGCACACAGCCACAAGTATCAAAGCAACAAGTGGTCATGAACTTCTGTCTCCTCGTGTGCTGAAAATAGGTCACGGAAGTTGCCGGTTAACTTGTATGCGATACGAGGGACAGAGCATGTTTGCCAAAATTGTTCACTTTTGCCCAGAATAAATCCGTGAATGGAGGCAATGAATCTGAATTGATTAATTAGCTGGGGGTGTGCCCTATCGAGCTCAGCTAAACGTTTCGTGCGCATCATTCAAAATGTAGTCACCATTGAACACAAGCTTTTTGCAGACGGTCTTTGTGTCAACTTTTTGTGTTGGGTTACCTTTTGGATTGCTCTACTGTGAATGTATAGGAACCTTTCTGGGTAATCATTATTTAACAACCTTCTCCAAAAAATCCTCATCTGTCGCGCGGTGACATAGGTTTATCACAAGACCATGAGACAAAGCTGCAAATGTTTTGCTTCACGATAAGCAGCACGTTGTAAGACTCCATTTGAACGCCTCGACAATTTTATCTCTAGAAACGCCAGTTTTGTTGGTTTCTACTGTTTGAGATACACAGAAGTGTGGATATGATGAATTAAAATTTGCAAATGCATTTGCAATATGCATTGTCTGTAAGAATAAAGATATCATTCACATAACGGCGATCACAAGAAACCCGGTGTCATCTGTTGCAAAGCATCTAACGACAACAAGACACAGTTGACCCTATCTCATCCTTGAAACCAGCCACTGTTGCGTAATCACCTTGCTAAATTCTTTGCTACGTAGTGAAACATTACTTATTCAGTTAAATCACCCAGCTTTTAAGCGCGCAAGTGTTAACACAATAAATTCAACCACCATGATGTTGACCTTGCACTTCTAGGTTTAGTTATATTTCTTGGCTTATGCATGTTTGCTCACCATGTACTATACATGCACCCATTTATTTTACATTAAGGATTGAGCAAATGTTAATATTTTGTGACATTTGTTTTCCTTCTATCTTTTGTTTCTTGCTTATTTTAAAAGTGGAAATATGTAAAACTGACAAGAAACGCAGTCTGCATGCAATGGGCTTACACTGGCGTAACTTCGAATGCACTCCTCAAGGCTGCTGCCCCACAGCAATTTGGATTATGATGTGTTTGACTGAATCTGAGGAAAAACATTTTCCCTGAAAGTTCAATCGCTCTCCTCTGTGCTACCGTTTGGTTATTGTTTCAGACCAACGACATAATTAGATGAAGAAGTCTGTGTAAACATCGGAAACTGTTCATAAAATCAAACGAGCATTGCTTAATGAACTCTAGTTATTACGTTTTGGCTGTGATTTCAGTTCGATATCTTTTGTTATTTGGTTCAACTCATCCATATCCACTAACCTCTCACCCACTCCAAAAAAAATACGTCCCCCAAATAAACGAATACGTCATTTATATGGCCTAGTTTCTGGGTAAATGTCACAGATCTGATGGAAATATCGGTTTTCTTCGATGAGTTTACAGAGGTTTATTAAATATTTCAGTGAATGCTTAAAGTCCTTACTTTCAAAACGGTCCAATAAAACACCGATGTTGGCAATTTCATTCTGACTGGGTGATGATGACAGGGCGGTTTTAGTTACTGCCATTAGAGCGCTCCGGATTCTAAGGTTTGCTGTTTGAATGGCAACATCACCATCCAGCTTTCACGACACGCAGCTTCGCTTGATTTAATACCACATTTCCCTTGTTGGGGTCAGGAGTAATTTGTTGCTCCAAGTCCTAGGGATTTTGTTGCCGATCTGAACACTCAAACACTAGGTCCTTTGGACTGTCAGGTTCATCTGCTCTGTAGATTATCACGCCAGATAATGTAGTACAAAAATCTACCACCACCACTCCGTTAATGAAACAATCCAAGACTTTCGTTCAGTGAGGTAAATAAACAGGCAAACCAGTTTCTATGGTTGTTTTATGCACAGCTCCCAAGCCAAGCACCACCAGTAATTCATGAGTTTGTCTCAGTTTACCTACTACTACGAGCGCGCAGTGTCAGTCTTAGTTGTAAAAAGTTCTTGGCTAAGCTCAAACAACTGTATTTATCTCACCCCTCAAAAATCGGCCATGAGAAAAAGGTGGAGAGCAACAAAATTGTGACCAAATTATGTGCAATCTCTTTACACCTTTTCTTCTGCTATGGACTTTATAGTAAACCCTTCATTCGTGAACGTGTGCGATCATAGGGTCTAGCTTAGTTGCTCACGAAATCCTCGCAAAAATGGGTTATCCTACAGTGTGTACATACAAAGTGAAAACATTATGATCAGCTTCTCAATGACCAGGCAGTTGTTATGCTTGCGTCCTAACTGTGTGTCCCCAAGCATGATCCTCAGTT